CATCAGCAATAACATCTCTATTTTCACGTCCACTTCTGAATCCTGTTTGAATTTCTGGCAGTTCCCTGTCGATGTACTGCTGTAACTGTTTTTGAATTATCTTCAGCAAAATTTTACTTGCATGTGATATTAATGATATTGTTTGGTAATTTCTGCATTCTGTTGGATCACCTTTCTTTGAAATGGGCACAAATATGGATCTGTTCCAGACAGTTGGCCAGAAAGCTGTCTTCCAAATTTCTTGGCATAGACAAGTGAGCACCTCCAGTGCTGCATCCGTTTGTTGAAACATCTCAGTTGGTATTCCTTTAATTTCTGGAGTCTTGTTTTTCACCAGTGCCTTCAGTGCAGCTTGAACTTCTTCTTTCAGTACCATTGGTTATTGCTCATATGCTACTCCCTGGAATGGTTGAAATCAACCAATTCTTTTTGGTACAGTGACTCTGTGTTTTCCTTCCATCTTCTTTTGATGCTTCCTGAGTCGTTCAGTATTTTGCCCATAAAATCCTTCTGTATAGCAACTTGAGGCTTGAATCTTTTCTTCAGTTCTTTCAGCTTGAGAAATGCCAAGCGTGTGCTTCCCTTTCGGTTTTCTAACTCCAGGTCTTTGCATATTTCATTATAATACTTTACTTTGTCTTCTCAAATCACCCTTTGAAATATTTTGTTCAGATATTTTGCTTGATCATTTCTTCTGTTTGCTTTAGCCACTCTATGTTCAAGTGCAAGTTTCAGAGGCTCTTCTGACATCCATTTTGGTCTTTTCTTTCTTTCCTGTCTTTTAATGACCTTTGGCTTTCTTTATGTATGATATCTTTGATGTCATCCCACAACTCATCTGGTCTACGGTTATTAGCGTTCAAGGCACAAATCTATTCTTGAGATGGTCTCTAAATTCAGGTGCAATATACTCAAAGTCGCACTTTGGCTCTAGTAAACTTGTTTTAATTTTCTTCAGCTTCAACTTGAACTTGCAAATGAGCAATTGATGGTCTGTTCTGCAGTCAGCCCCTGGCCTTTTTCTGACTGATGACAGTGAGCTTCTCCATCATCTCTTCCCACAGATGTAGTTGATTTGATTCCTGTGTATTCCATCCGGTGAGGTCCACGTGTATAATCTCTGTTTATGTTGTTGAAAAAATGTATTTGTAATGAATAATTCATTGGTCTTGCAAAATTCTGAAATGCAGTCTCCTGCTTAGTATCTATCACCAAGGCTGTCAATTTCTTCTTTGTTTCCAACTTTCACATTCCAATCACCAGTAATTATCAGTGCATCTTGATTGCATGTTTGATTATTTTCAGACTGCAGAAGCTGGTAAAAATCTTCAATTTCTTCATCTTTGGCATTAGTGGTTGGTGCGTAAATTTGAATAATAGTCCTATTAACTGGTCTTCCTTGTAGGCATATGGATATTATCCTATCACTGACAGCATTGTACTTTAGGATATATCTTTAAATGTTCTTTTTGATGATGAAGGAGACGCCATTCCTCTTTATTTTTGTCATTCCCAACATAGTAGACCATATGACTGTCCTATTCAAAATGACCAATAACAGTCCATTTCAGCTCACTAATGCCTAGGATATTGATCCTTATACATTCCATTTTATTTTTGGTGACTTCCAATTTTCCTAGATTCATACTTCGTACATTCCACATTCTGATCATTAATGGATGTTGGCAGCTGTTTCTTCTCCTTTTGAGTCATACCACATCAGCAAATGAAAATCTCGGAAGCTTGACTCCATCCACGTCATTTAGGTCGACTCTGCTTTAAGAAGGCAGCTCTTCCCCAGTCATATTTTGAGTGCCTTCCAACCTGAGGGACTCATCTTCTAGCACTGTATCAGACAATTCTGATGCATAAGGTTTTCACTGGCCAGTTTTTTCAGAAGTAGACCCAATGCTAGGTCCTCCTTCCTAGGCTGTCGTAGTCTGGAAGCTCCTCTGAAACCTGTCCACCATGGGTGACCTGCTGGTATTTGAAATACCGGTGGCATAGCTTCCAGCTTCACAGCAACACACAAGCCACCCCAGTACAACAAACTGACAGATGAGTGGTGGGTTGAGAGGATTAAATAAGATGGTATATGTGAAGTACTGAACATCTATGATAATGGATTGCATTTATGAGCACTTATTATGTTTCAGGTGCCTAGTAACATATATGAAAGTTCTCTCCAGGCTGTAAAGCCATGTAGAGGTGGAGGCCCAGTTTGTCAGCTCTTCCATTCCCAACCTTTGCTCTCATGCAGACCTGCTTCTATAGTCCAGAGACGTGCCAAGAGGAGGTTTCTTACTTAGGATGCTAACTTTGAGGGAGAAGCAGAAGGCCAATTTGTGGTATCCTCTACTGCTCCTAAAAGGAAAGCTTCTGGGGTGTCAAAGGAAAGCTCTAGCCCTGGGATTGGGTCTGGTTGGGCCTGAAGGGAAGTAGACCTGTTATTTTGCCTTCTGGTTGCATTTCTAGTAGACCTCAGCACAGGAGTCCAGGACTCTGGAAAAAAGAAAGAGCAACCAGATAGAATAGGAGGAAGGGACTAGTTTTGCATGTCCTTCCTCTCCCTCAAATCAGCCTCCACCTTTTGCTTGCCACTGCCTTCAACTAACAACAACAAAAAAAATTATTTGATATTTTATTATTACAACTACTATTATTTTTGTTATTTATTTTATTATTATCAGCAAAATTGCCATCACAATTAGCAACTAATTTATGGTGAACTTAGCTTGGGCTGAGTTCAACTAATTTAACCTTCACAACAGGCCTATAAGGAAGATTCTATTATTATCCTTGTTTTACAGATGAGGGAAGTGAAGATAAATCAGAAAGGATAAAATACCCGCCCAAGCTAGAAAGTAGTAGAGCTGAGACTCAAACCTGGGGCTGTCTAAGTCCGAGCCCCTGTTTCTAACTTTTATGCTACTCTCTGATTTACTTAATTATAGACAGCTAGATGACAAAGCACTCGAGTTCAAACTCTATGTGTTGTAGTTCTTTGTACCCACCCAGCCCCCAAGGCAAGATCTAGTAGAAGTCCTCTCTTTTCAAGATAATGATGATAAGATGATCATTAATTAATTAATCAATTAATTAATACTTAGCTCAATCATCCTTGTCTCCATGATTTAGCATACTAGGACTTTTAAACAATAGGAGCACCTTTAGGCCCGGTTTTGTGTTTTGGTTTGGTTTTTTTAGGGGAAAGCCATGTTAAGCTAGACTTTCATTCAAAGCTATAAGTTCCTCTGTTGCTCTAGAACTGAGATTGCCTCTGAGTTCTCTGTCCCTCCCGCCTTGGGGTCCTGAGAATGAGAATGGAGAGCATGCTTAGGTTGGTTACAGGGAGCACTGGTGTTGGTCAGCCTGGGATGGGTGGCCTCACTTCTGCCCTATTCCTCTGATCCCCAGGAAGGCTTTTCCTTTGTTTCCTCTGTCCCCAGGCTGCCTTCCTCAAACAAAGAGAGCTAGAGGTGCCCAGATGGTTTGCTCAGCACTCTTGGGGTCTTTCCAGCAGAAATGAGCTTCTGCTCAACTTGTCCTTGAGTCTGTTTTGAAAATCAAAATAAATAATTTGGGTTGACAGACATTGTGCCTGAACACAAACCAAAAACAGAAACAAAAAACTCCCATTTTGCAGAACAGAGAGTAAACTTTATCCCTCTGAGAACTTTGTTTTTCCTAAGAGAAATGTCTTTTATTGTTTAAGATAACTTCTCACATGGGTTTTTTCATGTTACAAAAGGGGATTTCCTTAAGGTTAATGTAATTTAATATAATTAATCCTCTTAAATGAAAAGATGAACTTGAATGCAGAATTGTAGCTAGTTGGTTTTAAAAACATTTATCAGCAAAAACTATAGGATTTACTATATAAACAAGCTCATTTAAATGTATCATATCAATTAGACAGCTATAAATACAAGCTGGATGAAAGCCTTGATTGGATTTGTTCTATTCTGTTCTGCTGAAGTAGCCTGAATTGCACATCAGCTAATAGGAAAAGCGCATCAGTCTGTCAGGACCCTCCAACAACTGCTCCAGATGAAATATCAAACAGACATCATGTCAGTGCTTGCCTCATGGGCAAAAGAATTAAAATACTGAGCGTTTCCCCCTATTTACTATTCAGTCAAAATATGAGAAGGCGAGGTATCCTTTGTGCAGTTCCTCCAGAAAGGAAACAATCATTCAATCTTTTTTTAAAAAACCCACGTGAATTGTTGTATTGTAATGAATTGTAAACCTCAGGGCAAACTGAAGGGAGCTCTTTAACAAGTTCCAAAAGTAGCAACAGACTGGATTCCAACAGTCTAGGCTTTTCAGCCTTGGGTAATCAATCAGAGGACTGGAAAGGAGTAAATTAAAGGTAATCCAGTACTCCCAACACCATTGATTGATAATTTATCAGAGCAAGTGATGCACACAGTGAATGCCCACTTTCTTGAGAAAGTGTACTCATGGCAGATATCTAACCTACCACCCGTTTAAATTATTGAGGCAATGGAATCAAGACTAACTGTAACATTAACTTTAGAAAAACATAACTACAAAAGTAAATATGCTGTATTAGAAAATCACGTAAAGGATTCAGGAGCCACATATAAATACCTTCTGGATTATGCCCAGTTATGGATTACCAATTTATCTATATGGCCACTCCCCTCCAATAGTGTGGATAATACAGAATTGGATACAGTCATTTACATGATGAAGGTGATGATAGTTATTACATGACATTGGTTTCACTAATTCCACCAAAGATTATTTTTTATTTCTTTGCCAACTATCTTCCCTGTAAAGCCTGTTGTTATGCATGTAATTTTGTTTAAGTTTTGGGTTTTCTAATTTTTAAAAGCACAGATCTAGGCATGATTATTCATGTTTGGAAAGAGGTCCCTAATAATTTTGGCTGGAAGGAAAGCTAAGACGGTAATTTACTCTACTTCATGTCCCAAAGATGATGTTTCTGCCTTTGCTTATCTCTTCTGCAGCAACCATCCACTATGGGCTATGCAAGACACATCATTAAGAAAGAAGGCTTGGGACTCCAGGGCCTCAACAAAGGATTTACAGCAACTTTGGGACGCCATGGGGTTTTCAACATGGTTTATTTTGGCTTCTACTACAATGTCAAAAACATTGTCCCTGTCAATCAGGTAACTATTTAATAGGTTAAAATCCTGTAGAAAAATCCCATCAATGATAGTAGCTATAGATGTGGAGTCACTGCTGAACACTTATCTAATTACCTATTATCTAATTTGATCCTCATATCAGTCTTATGCATTGAGTGTTGTCCCTATTTCGAATCTGGAAACTGAGGTCTGGAAAGATCAAGTAAATTAGCCAAGGTCACATAGTAAATAGCAAAGCAGAGATCTGAACCCAAGTCTGATGCCAAAATTTATCCCCTTGAAGAATGTGCCATTACACCTGAATGCTTTCTGCTTGTCACTAGTAGGAATTTCTAAAAGTGTGTTATTACTTCATTTTTATCTTGTAAGTATAACTTTCTCATAAAAATTGAAATTTTAATAGCCCAAATAAAATTTTAGCTCATAGGGAAAAATGTCAACTTAGCATTTAAATTTTACATAGATATGAATTTTTAAATTCACTTAGGTTAATTAGGGTAGGTAGTAAATCAACTTTTTTAGGATCATTTGCTTTTTTTCTTTTTTTTTTTAATAGAGTGTGTTTATTTCCCTACAATCTTATGAACACAATATTACCAGGTGTCATTGTACTATCTGCCAGTCTGAGGAAGAAGAAATTGTTGATCAATGGAGTTTGTTTTATTTTGTTGTTGTTGAGATTATACACAGCAAAACATATACCAATTCAACAGTTTCTACATGGACAGTTCAATGACATTGATTACATTCTTCAAGTTATGCAACCATTCTCACCCTCCTTTTCTGAGTTGTTCCTCCCGCATTAACATAAACTCACTGCCCGCTAAGTTTCCTGTCTAATCTTTCCAGTTGCTATTGTCAGTTTGATCCCATATTAAAAGAGCGGAATTCTCAAGGCAGACAAAGATCATGTGCTTTTGATGTAAAATAATAATAATAATGATAATTTTTTTATATGGTAGCTTACAAATGCCAGCATCCCTTCAACTTCTTCAACAAGATAAAAGTAGCACATGATATGCTTTAAAACTGAGCATCTTTTTAGTTATAACATCACAGGATTTCACCCCACCATCAAATTGCTTGCTTGTAGGCCAATGCAATCCTGGAAAACACCAGTTGGGGAAACATTTTCACATGCAGGCATTTTCTTATGGTGATTCAATTCTTAATTTTGCTTAGTAGAAAACTATTAAAGGACCTTTTTAAATCATAAAAACATTTCAGATATGGCTATCACCAAACTCTTCAGTAAAGTTGGTTATACTTGTCTTTGCCCAGCTCTCCCCTGTGTTATAGTATAGACCAGGACTTACCTCAAGTAACAGCTGAATGCAAGGTCTGTTCCACATTAACCATCTGTTGGCATTGCTTGCTTCACAAACCACGGTTGTTAACCAAGTTTCACTGTATTTGGATGTCTCATTTATTGAGTAGAAGCTTATGTTTCATTGGTCCAAGATCTCTACTGATTGGCCGCAGTGTACATTGACTGAGAGTTCTGATTCCTGTGGCCCTCAGAGCTCTCCTGCTGTCGAACTCATCATAGTATAAACACTCGGGTCCTGCATGACATCAGAGAGGTCAACCCTTAAGACTTTGAGATTCTTTTTAGCAAGAACCAGCTACATAATTTGCAGGGCCCAGTGCAAAATGAAAATGTGGGGCCCCTTGTTCAAATATCATTTGACATTTCAAGACAGCAGCATTAGAGCATTAAACCAAGCCTGGGGCTCTTCCAAGGACAGGGCCCTGTGTGACTGCACAATCACATCCCATGAAGCTGGCCCTATTTTTTTAGATTCTGAGACGTGTAATCTGCACAACATTGGAGAACAGTCTGCCTCCATTCCTCCAGCTAGCCAAAGACTTCAGGCAGACAGAAATTACACACAGTAAGATGAATTGTATATTTTTTATTGTATTTATGTATTCATATGTTATAAAACCAGTTACTGGGGGTACAAACAGTTAAGTGCTCGACTCCAAGGAAGAAAGAAAGAAAGGAAAGAAGGAAGGAAGGCAGGGAGGGAGGCAGGGAGGAAGGCAGGGAGGATTTTTTTTTAGCAGATACTAAAAAGATATGTGGGCATTTAAGAAGGTCACTGTATTAGCTAATACTAGTTTATAAGGTAGCTAGGAGAAAACTTACAGCTGAAGGGCTTATAGCTAGAATCTTGGTGAGTCTGACCAAAAGCAGAGTTCCAGAGAAAAAAGAATTAGGAATTTTAAGGTCACATATAACACAGTAGAATCTTTATATTAAGAAAGTGGAATATTTATTTGGGGAAATGATTCTGAAAATGGAGGTTTCCGTATTGCCAAGGTAAGTTTTCTCAAGTTGCCTCAGTAGGCTGCTGGAGTAGGCACGTTTGTAGGCAGAAACTAAAATCCTGACAATGACTTCAGCAGTGTAGAGAGGGTCCCACTACCCAGGAACGCCTCTGGAGAACACAGTAGAGCAGAAAAGGTGTGAAATGAACTGTTCTTATCATGTCTTATTATATCTAATACTGGTCCAATTTTTGTTAATTATAGTCAGTGAACCGTCAACCAGCATTTTACCAAAGGAATTCTCTATTAACTAGCACTTCCTGTATCTAGATTATGCTAGTTAGTAAGTGACTAATTAATCAGGACCTTGCAGAAGACTGAACGTATCACCTGATTTGTCAAAGAAAGGATACATTTTGTTTAGTACACTTTTAAAATTAATTTTTTATTCTGTTATGATTCTTATACTACTGAGGGCTTGTGAATAGAACGCCTCATTCCCACAGCTTCCATTTAAAGTACCTAATAATAAGAAATTTAGTGAAATATCATTTGTCATTGAAAAAAGCAAAAGTTGATAAAATTCCACTGCAATTTGCTATACAGAGACACTAGCGGAGAAAGCCAAAGTGCTACTTTCTGCATATTTCACTATTAACAATTTGACAGTGCCAAAATGTGCCCTGTGGTTCAGAGGTAAGTTTCCAAGCTAAAAGAACTGGTTCCTTTGCATTTAATGATCTGGGCACTTGGCCCCCTAGATTACGGGGTGGGGAGATTGCTGTCCACAAAATTTGGGATCAGCGGGTCTAAGTGCAAATCCTGACATTCAGTCATTCATTTAACATCTGGCATAGTGGTTAAGCATTTGCCTGCTAACCAAAAGGTCGGCAGTTTGAATCCACCAACCATTCCTTCGAAACCCTATGGGGCAGTTCTACTCTGTCCTATAGGGTTCCTATAGGTAGGAATTGACTCAAGGGCAATGTTTTTTTTTTTTTTTAATTGAGTCTCTAACATGTGTCAACCCCTGTGCTAGGCACCAGGGGATACAGTGGTGAGAACCTGTCACAGAGCTTACAAGGCCATGGAGGTAACAGACAAAAACAAGTAAACAAACACAATTATAAATGATGAAAGAAAAGTACTAAGAGAGCACATAACAGGGAGCCCCAATATAATCCTGGTGGTCAAGGAAGGCTTCTATGAGGAGGTGACGTTTGAGCCAAAGAATGAGTTAGAATTCATTAGATGACAGCAAGTGAAGACAAGTATTCCAGACAGAAGGAGCATCTTGTGCAAAGGCTCTAAAGAGGGAGGGAGATGAATGCCTTGGATGAAATGAAAGATAGCCCATGAAGCTGAAGCAAAAGAATGAGAACAGGAATGTGGCTAGAGGGACCCAGGGAGTCACATCATACTAGCTTTTCTAGGCCACACCAAGTGTTCTTATTTTTATCTAAAGAGGAAGCCAACAAAAGTTTTTAAGCAGAGGAATTACTTGATCACATTTTCACTTTTAAAAGATCACTCTGACTGCAGTGTGGAGAGAGAATGGAGTGGTGGTAAGGGAAAGGCATAGTGTATATTCAGAAATGATTTCAGTTCAAAATGGTGGGGTCTTGGACTACAGTGTTCATGATGGAGATATGAAGTGGACAGATTTGAGAAATATTCAAGAGACAAAATATATTGAATGTGGTGATGGAATATGTATGCATGTTGAGAAAAGGGAAGGAGTAAAGATGATGTCTAGGTTCTCAGCTTGGACAGCTGAAAACATAATGATGCTATTCACTGAGAAAGAAAACCATTAAAAGATAAACAGGTTTACACAAAATATTATGAGCTCAGCCTGGACACTATGAGTTTAACTGCATTTGGAACTCCAAAATACAGATGTTGAGTCAGAGGTTGGATGTGGAGCCCAAGAGGAGATATCTGAGCTGGAGATAGAAGTCATCAGCATACCTAGATGAGAAAGGAAGACTGTCCCTTCTTGGTTGAATAAGCTTGGGCCGTTCACTTCCCCACTCTGAGCTTCAGTTTTTTATCTGTAAATTGGAGAGCGAAGATTGTTCCTTCAAACTGTCAAGACTGTGCTGAGAATTAAAATAAACAATACATGAAGTAGTTTGTGAGTTTTAAGGTGCCAGGGAAAAGTTAAGTGTGATGGTGCTGTTGCCGGTGATGGGGGAAGTAGAGATGGTAAGGTGGATGGTAGAAATAGTATATATAAATGGAGTCCCTGGGTGGCGCAAATAGTTAAGCACTTGACTACTAGCTGAAAGGTTGGAGGTTCAAACCCACCCAGAGGTGCCTCAGAAGACCCGCCTGGTGATCTGCTTCCAAAAGGTCACAGCCTTGAAAACCCTGTGGAGCAGTTCTACTCTGCACACATGGGGTCACTATGAATCAGAATGGACTCTAGGGCAACTAACAACAGAACTGCATGAGGATTTTTTCCCCAGAACTATTCTTTTTGCACTTAACTGAACACTAAGTTTTGGGGTGTTTTTTTGTCTAGAACAAAGTCATTGACTTTATGTGTTCTGTAATCTAAGCCTGATTCAAAACTAGGAAACCAGTATTCTTTAAATTTAAACCATAATAAATCAATCCTTTGTGAAGGGGAAGGTATGATAATCATTAAAACATGTTGAGGAACGTCATCAAGTTGTTATAAACTGTGATGAGGAGGTGGTGTTCCTGGAAGGCTTTATTCCATCTTTGCTGTAGGCTGTCTC